CCCCCCCCAGCAGCTGCATGTAACCTCCTTCAAGATCTCGCCCATTTTCTCAGAAACCCGCTTCAGGAACCTGCAGTCCAAGAGGAAAAAGAAAAGAACAAAGTTACTGAAGGCCTTTAGAAGACGGAGAAGCGTGCTCAGTTCTAACAGGCCAGTCTCAGCGGCTATACGTTAGCCTTGTACTTAATTCCACAAACTCTCATTAGAAATATGAGCCACAGCTTTTAAATTAGCTGCCTTTTTTCTTCCCCCCCCTAGTAATCAAGTAGTGCAATGCTGTTTCCAGTCCTCAGTGATTTAACAGTGAGGGGAATTACTGTACATTTAAGATCTTGATTTCAGACTAAATATGATGCAATTCAAAGACTTAGCTTACAGGCACAGATTAAGAATATAAAATCATTCCCTTTTCAGGAGCAGAGAGAGGTTTCAGTAAGACATCAAGCATTACATGTAGTCTCTTTTTTTTGTTTCTTCAAGGTATCTAGAGTTAAAACAATGAACTTGTGTCCAATACACAACATTCTACATTACAAGTACTGAAAAGGAAGGAGAGAGGCAGGTCAGTGGACTTTCTGGCCTTCTTTATCATAGCATTTTTCCTGAGCGTTTTTGTTGAGCTTTCAGAATCAGAAAACATTTTCCTGTTTAAGAAGTGAAAGCTGCCAAGTATTTGCTAAGGAAGGAAATTAATAATTTTCAGTAACTGAGTTCAGTAAGTTAATGGAGGAAAAAACCCTCTGTTTTAAGCATATAGTTTAAGTCATAAAAATGGAAACAGTAAATCTTAGAGATCTTTAATTAATTTTTCAGTTCTCTATAAAAACAAAGAATTGTATAGAATAAGCAGGAGTCTTGGTCTTTTTCTGTTTAGTAGCTGAATTGGATTTAGTGCTTTGTGAAGGAGGAACACTAGATCAGTTAAAGCAGAAGACATCGGTCAAAATTACAGACCAGTGTAAGATGCATAATTTAATGTGGTCATCTCTGAAAAAAACTATAGCAAACAACAGACCATTTCTGACTTCTGATATTCTAATGCTTTCCCCGAACCCCTGTAATTTACTATTTTTCCACTATTTTCCCTGGGGCATACACAACTGAAAGTTGCCAGTTTACTGTTAGATATATGTTACTGCACCTTTGCTGTTTTTCTCTAGCGTTACATCTATATATGATGTTGGCACATAGCCTTCCTCTCCATTGTGTCTTCGAGCTCTTGTCCACCCATCTCCTTTGTCTTCCTCAATAATGTACAAAATCTCCCCTTCTTTCATTGCTAGAGTGCCTTCATTGTGACCTGGGAAAAACAAGAGACAAAGAAGTCTCAGTGTTCAGACAGAATTTCAAGTCATCTTTTTCCCAGGGCATAGTTTCCAGATTATATATAAACAGGAAGAACCAAAAATCTGTGCAAGAGAACATATGGTCAAACAGGCTTACAGACGAAAACCTAGTCCCATTTGTAAAGCTGAGTATTTGCCAATAGCCCTGCTATTAGTCATCTTAAAACAGCACAAAAGTACTGCTCGGGAATTAAAGTGATTTATAAAGTATTTCCACTGACCTTACAAGCAACTAGTTGCTCATACAGTTAATTTACTTAATCATTTTACCTGTCTTCTCTCTATGTAGCAAATAATCCATGCCTTATAGTCAAGGAATCATAGTGCGTGTTTTTAACCTTACCATCAAACGGATATATTGCCTTGCAATGTCCTATAGCTGGTAATGGATCATCATCTTCAAACTCATCATCAAACTCATTTGGATGCGCATGTTGCTGTGGTGGGCCTCGAACCTCCTGATTTGCATCATCCGTGTAACTCCCTTCAGGGCTGTAACGCAACGATTGGAGCATGAGGACTCTGAAAGTTCTTGGCTCTAACACTGAGAACATGCCTGCATCATGGGAAGGGCAGACTGCAGACAGTGCTCTGGGAATGCCTGTTAGCGGTTTTTATATTTACTGCTAGAGGTGCTTTTCTAAAAATACTGATCTAACAAAGGCTTGGGCTGAATTCTGCTACAAAAACAAACACAAATTTGACATACCTGTCTATAGGGAACACAGAAAACTGGTGTGCCTTATGCAATGGAATAAGAGAGCTTTAAAAGGCACTGCTATTTAATGAGTGTGTGTTTCGATTAGACTCACTATTTTTTATGTTACCATAACGACACGTAGTGACCTCTAGAATTCAGTAAGATTTTTCCTTTAGAAGGACATAAACTTTCAGAGGATAAGTAACACCCATCCCCTACTGTTAACGATCAAAGAGATGTAGCGTAAGATATAAAAGCAGTAGAGATAGAATAGTCACCTCTCTCTGCCCTGTGTTACAAGGTGGTTGATATCACTGCTGTGCCGCCTGTCGCTTCTGGCTGCTACTTTACCTTCAACTTCAGAGAGCCAGGCCTTAGGAGGGAAAAAGACAAATATTGGTGTCAAAGAAAACTTGATTCTAAACCAGCAAATACCATTTAACAAATGCACTTAACTGCATACAGTTTACTTGTCAGTACATAGCCACACAGTGAGTGCATTCCCATGTGAAGTCTCATAATTACTTAACATGAAGCATGAACCTATCCCTCATGATTAGCTTATACTCCATACTAGTCTTAAGGGAAAAAAAATGATTTTTAATCCCATACGAATTTCAGAGTAAGTGAATAAGAAGAAATTCTTCTGAACCGTTTACATCTTTAGTGATGTACGTTCTTATTCTAGCTAGATGAACATACTTGAAAATATGGCACCCCATGAAAAATTGTATGGGAAGCGTTTTCTTAAATGAGGTAGTTTTTCTGGGAGCTGCATTTATAACCCATAAGGCAAACTACAATTTTACCACTCATTTACATTTCCAAGGAATTGTTTTAGAGTCTAACCTCATTCTTGTGTATTTCCATCCGAAGACGGTCCATGTTGCTCATAGTCTCTGTTAATTTTGGTTGCAAACTGCCTGGATCACCCATCTGGGGATTTTTTTCATAAACATCCTTCATCTTGATGAGGGCATCTCTAAAAACATACAAAACCCAACAACAATTGTAAAAATTACATGTATCAGTACTGATTCATTAAAGCTAAAATAATGTTTATGTGTATGAGCTCCTGACCCATGATTAGATACTAAGCAGAGACATGAGGAACTACCGCTCCCCACACCACACCTAAATCCTTTTCCCATTCTGCCACCTTAGCACTCTGCCTGCCTTCCTTGTGTTGCACACAACCACATAAGGACTCCAACTGTCGACTCCTCTCTATCCAGTCTCAATACTGTTTCCCATATTGTTATACACAATTTCCTAAATATTAGTAACATTCTTAATGCACCAAGTTGCAGCTCTTGCTCAACAGACTTACGCATTGGGGTTTTTTTTTTTTAATGCATGCTTTTAGATCCAATGTTTCCTATGCAACGTTAGGATCATAGGAGCATATTCTAGTAAAGCAGAAGGAAGCAATGCTAACAGAACCTACATGCAATAAACCATGAACTAAAAATGCTTTGTAATAGCCTGGACTAGTATATTCTCTCCTAGCTTCTGAGCACTGTTGGCTTAGGTAGAGGACTTCAAAAGAAACAGACATAGAGAGAACCATGCCAAAACTCCAAAAAATTCATTCACTTTTGGTCTGTTTCCTTCTGTAGTTCTCTGTTAAGTTCATCAATTCTCTGTTGCAGTTTCTTGCGTCTTTGTTCTGGAGGGAGATGGCTGAAGTCTTCTAGTGCAGGGCCCTGCAAGTAGAAATACTATTAAACAAGCAACCCGCCTGTATCTGGACCGCTGAACTGACATACCCACACACAGACAGTGTTCACTGGAAGCAGGATGGACCTTCTTAAAAACTCCACTTGACACACAGCTCTATAAAAGACCGCAACAGAATAAATGTACATTCTTGCTGCCAGACCATAGTCATTCATTCAAGGTTCTTTCTGCCTTCTGTAACAGTTGGCTGACAGATGTAATTCAAAATTTGTAGACTCTATTTCTGAAAAGCCGAGCCATCCGTGTACCTATTACATCCACTGCACTTAAAGCAGATTTAGAAAGGACACAATTAATTACTACAGAGTAATTTCAGTCAGAACAAAAAAAAAAAATCTAAGATGTGTGTATAATAGTAATATGTATATAATTGATTCTTTCTCTGGAGTGTGTGTTCTATGGTGATTTGGATGCTATCAAAAGAAAAATACTGTATTTTGGATTTCGTTCCAAACTACTGTCTAGTTCTCTTCTGGAAGTTCAGCAGTCTTGCTAGAAAACATATTAAAACTTACAAAGTTCTGATGCACTTTACCTCGAGTAAGATTACTTCATAGAGCACAGAAAAAGCCTTTTATAAGATCAAAATTTTGACTTAGATCAAAACTTGCTCAAATATTCCAAGTCACCTTTTTCATTATAAGAAAATGATGTTTTAGGGAGGGGAAAAAAACCTCTTACTTTCCAAACTTCTTTTTAATCAAATAACCAAACCAAACCAAACCACCCAAACAAACAAAAGGTAAGACCACCTATTGTTATGAGCCCAAACCTGCAACAGTTTGACTGCAAACTTGTGCCAAGATTATAAACGGGATGGAAGGACTTGGGTGTGAAAAGCATGGGAAGAGATTTTTATGTATCTTGTAAGTTTGTCCCCTCAGGGTGACAGACATCGACAGTGTTAAGAAGGAAATATGGTATGCATCTTAATAACAGAAAGTTTACATTATTTGTGTCCTAGTTGCCCAAGAAACTTGTTTTTAGCACAAGAAACCCACTTGCCATTACAGTAATCCTCCATGGAGGCAAAGTGAACTGGACAGCATTTCTTTTTTCAAGAAGAAACTTGACAGACACTTGACTGTCGAGAGCCTAAGGCTCAAGTGCCAAGTTTCTAATGCCCCTTCTTAAGACCTTCTTGCCTCTCAACTTCTTGGTTCTTTTGCGCTTGTAAAATCATAATCTCACTGCTTTTCCAGAAAGGAATACAAGACACCACAAATGGAGGGAACTCAAGATACAATGTCTCCAAAATAAAGCAGAAATGTTTCTTTCTGGAGGGAAAAAAACCCAATTCAAATCCTTTCAGGTGCTTTTACACACTACAAAGAAACAAAAAGACAATCACATCCTCTGTGTCATTCTTCCTTACAGGTCAGTTAAAACCAGAGTATCCTACAGCAAAAATCCAAACAGAGGTCTTTTTGTGAACTTTTACTGATTTACTCTGCAAAACAATATTGATTAAGGTGTGGCTTTCATTTAATAGAACACCTTTCTAATATTTCTAAGCATAAAGGATCATCTCCCCTGCAATTTTTGGGTTAAATTCAAAGGAGTAAATTTTGCAGTATTCGGTATTTCTCCCTTACACAAGTTTCGTAATGCTTTCAATATACCTATTTTACGCTGCTTTAACAATTTTCCTGACAAAGAGAAATCCCCAAGCATTTCCATCATGACCAACTCGTGAATACTGGTCAACCTAAAATCCTGAAATCACAGATTTAGTTGCAGCCAGATCACAAGTCTAATTATCTTACATTAAGCATGGATGATTAAGAAGACCGTGTATATGAGTGGAAAATCTGAAGATGTATTTCAGCACCTGACTTAAAGCAGTTATGATATGGAAACACTTTCAAAGATTACTTTCATGCTATCTTAGCAGAAGTACAGCAGACAGATCAGCACACGGGCTTACCATCTTCACCGACCACTGCACAGTTCATTTGAAAACAGAAAGAAATGGGAAATTACTCACATGCAACAACCAGTTACAAAAATGATTAATGCCTAAAAACGTATCTTTAAAATATTACTTAAGGATTAAAACTTTGATTTATAGAAATTACATTTTACTATAAGCACAAGAAAAGCAAAATACAATAATCAGAAATACACTTCTGCTTACAAAATTACTGAGTGATAATGGGTAGTTTAACTTACGGAATTCTAATACACAACTTCATTAAACTACTTTTCAATGTCAGTGTTTTGAATAATATGCTAAAGAACTTCTATTGCAGAAGAATAAACAAACACACAGCCAACACTTCACAAAATAGCGGAATCTGATGATGATGAAGGACTGGTCAGCCATATGCAAATAATTTGTTAATTATAGCTAACAATCCACTACCACCACTTTTACAATGTATTTACTTTATTATCACAGTAGAACTACAACAAACAAGACCTTTTCAAGTTTGGAAGTTAGTAATTTTACTTTCTGAAAACAGCATTTGGGTCATTGCTGCTATCCTAGAAATGTTTTAGTCCAGATAAAAATAAAGACATTTAAAGAGTAAAAATTTTATCCTTAGAGGAAGCAAATAAAACATAGAATGCCAGGTGTCATATCCTGGGTTTAACGTTCATAGCATTCTGAATATCTACCATGCTTTCAAAGACTTTGGATAACCCTGTCCAGAGAAACACCAAACAACTTAGAAGATAATCTATCTCCAACATCATTTATGACCCTCAGCATTTGTTAAGGGCACACGCACAAAGTGAGAATTTCTAGCAGTGAGGAAAGCAAAGCACCTTCACAAACGATACTTTGGTAGAAACCTCAATAAAGTCCAAAGATGCAAAATGCCTATAAACATCTCATTCCCTTTAGAAAGGGTCTTCCAAGGAAACACAAGTAAGGTTTACATATCATTGTTGACGATGCATCTATTGATGCATCAAGTGGCACTGAGCAAAGACCTCTCATAAGCACTAACGCTATCTGGAAATGTTAAGGTTTCAAAGGATGATAAGCAGCATGGAATAGCAGTACTAATAAAGGAACTCACACTTGCTTACACATAAAGACTCTCTTCAATAACCTGTTCTACAGCTACTGTTTGCTGCTTTCGCTGTACATCACCCCAGGAAAATGTAACGCATAAAGCACAGAATGAGGGCAATCTGGTTTTGTGATCTCCAGTGCCTTGAGTGAAATCTTGTACAGGGCACGTTAAACACAATAACCAGTATGCTTACTGTCTGATATATCCCAACTCATGGGTAAGACGCAGTAGAAGCAGAAGTGAATTAAAAACCCTTTGGTAGTTCTACATGTCAATACCCCTTGAACATCATTTTGCAGGGACAAAACTGGGAAACAGCATCATGTACTAGCAACTATTAAGCACTGAATCAAGATACGTTATAAAGATAAGACTAATCAAAAAGATAAAAAAATTTATTAGAATTACAGTACACATTTAAGTTGAAGAGGCACTTGATATGTGATAATGTGATGTCTGTTAAAGTGCTTGCAAGGAATTTAAAAATATATAAAAATTAACTGTAAATCTTCAGGATTAACATAGATTAACTATTTAATATTGTGGGATATTTGAGTTAATCCAGATTCATAGGACACTAGTGATCCTTGCTAATTTTATGGAGTACTATTCTGTATTAAATTCATTCCCTTTCACAACATGAACAATGAATTGTAAGAATAAAAAAAATTAAATAAAAATACAGTTTCATTTCCCATTAGCATTCTGTAGTTGTTAGGAGATGATCTTTTTTGCTTCAGTAAGAGGATCTAGATCTACTGATGCAACAAGGTGTTATTTGTGAGCCAGGAGTCAGTACACATAGTGATCAACAAAAAGGAGGTGTGATCAAGACCTGTGCCATTTCAACAGTGATCTGATCCAGTTAGTTCCTCACTGAGTACTAAAGAAGGAACATCATGACCAGAACTACTTGTGATGTAAGTGACTCGGAAGGGGAAAGGAGAAACTGTCCTCCATAAATACTTAGGGGACCACACAAAGTTTTTTAAAAATGGTGGTGGTAGAAAGGGTATTTCCAAGATACCTGGGGGCCTGAGATAAGATGCCACAACATGGCTTAAAGACAAAGAAGATCCGTTTTAAGTGTAACTCATTATTTCAGAATGACAGCAAGGGAGTCTCTAGATCATAACTTCACTGCAATATAACATTGTTGTACTTTGATCTCCACATTATGTCAACAGTAGGCAACCATTCTTGATGCACATGAGACAGCAAGTCAATATTGTTTTCAAATAGCTGAAAATCATGAATTATAGATAATAAAATGGATCCAATTATCTCATTATTTGGATCAATAAATAACCTAAAACGTACATAAACTGGGCATCCTGTGCTTTACCGACATAACAGGAAAGGGCCAGTATATTTATCACTAGTGCTATAAATGTTGCTAGGAAACCACTTAATGTTTCCCTGTTGTTGTCTTCCTAACAAATTCTATTTGCAGAATATGCCACTATAAATTAGTAAATGAGTTGATAAATCTTAGAAAGTGGCATTTGTTTGTAATTTTTCAATAACTTTACCCAAAAGAACCTTGGACAAACAAGAACAATTTATTACTCAGAAAATGCATTAAAATTGTGACATTTCAAAAATCTGTATTTCAAAATCTGCAAGCACCATGTGCTATAGCATTTGATGTACAAAAGAAATTAAATTCTCCCTTCTTACTTCAGTGTCTTATAATCAACTACTATTATTTCAATTAAAAGTTAGCATCTGATCTGTCAGATGGTTTTTGTGGTGACTACATATCCAATGATAAATTACTGCAAAAATGTGTTACATGATGGTAGGAAAACATTTGTGAATGTGAACAACAATGAAGAAAGGTATCAAACACATGCTGAGCACCCTCTTTATAACACCTTTCTTTTAGGCACAAGTATTTGGAATGCGATAAAGAGTCTCTCTCTTTTATTGTATTTGTTGGTAACTTCTGTATAATATAAAACAAAGTATCCTAAAAGTGACCTTATAGCTGAAGTGTTACTGTTAACAAAGTAAGCCTTATAATGAGGGTGAAGAGCATTAGAAAAGCCACATCACAAACACACTGTTCATAGCCCATCATGCATTTCAACTGGTTATCAAACTTACCCCTCTTTTGAGGCTTCTGAAAGAAGGAATTCTGGGCTTCCCTGTTTTTATGTCACTCATGCAATAATGCACTGGTTCAATGGAGAATATGGGATACTGGGACCCATTAGGAGTACTGGATGTGTATAAACTAGTAGGGGTTAGGGGTGGGGATTGTGGCTAATATGGAAATAAAGAAAGCAATAAATAAGCCAAATGTTCAAAGTGATTTTAAAATGAAAATTCTGTCTTACAAAAATAAAATTTCCATCCAACACAGAAACAGCTTGTAACGTTCCAGACACATTTACACTATAACTGTATCGGTTTTAAAAGTTTCTGTCATTAATTAATCTTCAGAGTTACAGGTTGGTGCAGAGAATGAAGGAATAGTCAAAAAAGCTTTAGACTCAACACTTCCACAAGATCCTAACAAGATCCTGAAGTTGCCTGTCTTGCCTTTTCTTAAAACAGCAAGTTCCACTTTTCCCAACTTCGGTTACAGCCATTTGGGAAGTCTGTGCATTTTCTCGCTGTTTCTTCCTACATTTTGATGTACCCTACCAGGTACACTAAAACAGAAATATTAGGTACATCTACAGAGAGTGACTGAAACAAAAACTGTATCTCTGTAGTCAAGCTGGACTGACACAATGGCTGTGTGGCATTCTTAATATTATCACACGAACTTCCTGCACTTTCTTCCTGTCCTTTTTTCAAATCGTTTCTCTCAATTTTTGTCTCTCATACCTCTGCTGCTTTTTCCCAGTTTGATTTTTCTGTACAATTTCCTCTGCTGCACAACTCACTCCCTTTCCAAAAGACACTTACATCTTTGACATCATCAAAAATAGCTAAATGCGTATCTGGAAGACCAGCCATAGTTTCAGCTAAATGAAGGCCCAAAGGCCACCACGAATACCCTAGCTACAATAAATCAGCATATTTTTATATTGGTTAATTTAAGAGTATCTTTTAAAACCCGTAAATAGTATTTGGAATTAAATATGTGTCTCCTGATAAGTATTTTGCTCCTAGCTGCTGTTCTGTAGAACGTCCCTCCATCCTCCCCAAAAACAGGTGAAAAAAAGGGACAGCGTCTTCCATTTCCTCCAGGTCCCAGAGGAAGAGATGCATGTAGTATGTATACACATATGTATATCTGTGATTCCATACAGGAAACAGTAAGGCTGACCCTCTGAATGCTACATACAAAGTGAGTGAACCGGGCAGAAGAAAGAGTAGGAAAAGCCCTGTCAGCTTTCTTCAGTTGTCATTGTACTAAAGAATTTCTTCTTGTAACTACAGTAAACGACAAGGTCCAGACTGAAACCAGTGCAGATTTTCATAGCTTCCCTCTCCAAAATTCTCGGAAAGATGTCTTGTTGTCAAACTGGTAATCACGATCTCATTTCAGAACAGGCTGAATCTCATCCACCTCTGCAGCCAAATGCAATAAATATGCTAATGCATTAATGCATTTAAACTATTACCAATCATTAATTATACTGCATGGAAAGTAAACAATCAGTTTTCATTTTAACACACAGCTGCAGTTACATACCATACTGAGCAGGGACTAAAGAATCAGCTATATCCTTCCTTTCTGTAAAGATCAGCTTTCCTGACATACTAACAAGTGGAAAATAAATCCCTACCACTAATAAGCTCTTAAAATAGTTTCCTATAATAAATGGCAGAAACTGACTTGGAGCATTTAAATAACCTCATAGAAATTTGTGGGAATCATTAAAATGACTCACTGATATGCTCCAATACTAAATAAAGACCTAGCATAACATTTAAATATGTACATGCTACAGTATTCATTTATATAGCTAATGCATGTATTGATAATCGTTTTTGTTGACCCACGAAGGCATCTTGCACATAAAGTGTTAATTGAAACTCATATAGTAATATGAGAAAGGAGTCATTTCTCTACTTTCAGTTTTTTCTTGAGCATAGGAATATCTTTACGTATTTTATAGTAATACTTCTTCTAGGACATTTATTTGTATGGAGCTTCAACAGTATGTTTTATCAATGAGGTATTATAAATGTTAATGTATTCAGACAAACCTCTGAAGTTTTCAAAACTAGCAGCAGGTGTAATAAAAATCTATATAACACTCCTATATATAAACATCTACAAAATGGGACATTTAGAAGGGGGTTGCTTTTTGTAGTATAAAAAGAGAGATCTGAAGTCTGACCGATTCCAACGCATACTCCCCTTCCCCTTATTTTTACATTCACAATTAACACTTTTTCTATGCAATTGCAGAAAGTCTTTCCAGAAACTTTGAAATGTTACAGAAATGGGAAGCTACTTTTATCAAATAACTATTAAAAACATTCCCAGACACAAATCACTATAGAAGAAAAACTGGAAAACTTCCCCCAGTGAGAACTTGATTTTTAATACGGTAAGTATCCAACTCAAACCTGCAGATCTCCTTCCACATATTTTAAAAGACAGTGGCAAGCAAGGGGAAGGTTATTTTTAAATAAATAAATTGCTGCTTCCACACACTCTAGATCTTCGCATTTCAATTTTCCAAATAGTAATTTCTTAACTGTTACCTTTGGCTTCTTTCCAAATAGCCACAGCTTTCCTTTAGCTTTGCCCACTGTAGTTTTGGAATCCATTCGCATTCCTTCCTGCTTTGGTGTACTGATGGTTCCATCAGAGATAGTTCTGTAAATATTCTGACTGTAATCTTCAAATGGAAAGTCTCCAGGGGGTTCAAAACCAGATTTGAAGCAGTCTATCACTAGTTGAGAGTCCTAGATGTAGGACATGAAGGAGTTTAAAAAAGCAAAACAAGCAAACCCATCAGGAACCAGAGAAAAAAACAGAGACAAATAAATTTTCCCTTTAGTTGCAGAGATGCACAGATGGGAAAGTGAGAGCGAGCTCCAAATGCACGCTTTTGGATAGGTCAAGTTAAGATAACGTATGTTCTTTTTTCTCAGCAGTGTTACCATGACTGTAAATCAAAGCATACCTTCCTATTCAGGATCCAGCAAATACTCCCCAAGGGTTATCAAAAATCTGAAAGAGGACATGCTTTAGGGCCAAACTACTACTCCACCTTCTAATTTAGCACTTTATTAGCACTGAAATGCTACATGACACTGAAATGTAGCATACATTAGCACTGAAATGAAGATAACACTAAGCAACTAGATGTAGTAAGATACAGTAGGGAAGAACCCATGTTAGGAGTAGTAAGAAAGAAGTGCCAATAGCTGCAATCAAACAGGACACAGAACGATACTTCGTTAACTGAACACCCTTTATAGGATTTAATGCTACATGCTGGAGAAAATACCAACCATATTGGTATTCTGGGATGTTTCAGGATGACCGAAACAACGTGTCCAAAATCACAGACAGTGAGAAAGTGTCAAAGATCTTCAGAAGAAAGCAATAAAACAGGAAGAGAACAGACATGGAAAGTGGAAGTGACCATTTAGGCTAAAACTGAAGTCATAACCCTTTTCAAGCAGACAAATATTTGACAACAGAAAGACAAACATACAGGGTAAGTCCCTCTTTTCCCTCTCCACAGCTTCTGTATCAGTTAAATTGCTCATGCACATTTAAAAAGTTGTTCAATTCTACTTACTCTGTGTTCATCAACTGATTTTGCTGCAAGGATCATCCCTTCTAAACATTTAGAGATAATCGGAATAACCTTGCGCTCAGAGTCAGCAAAGCCTTTGTAACATTCACTAAGTTTGATAGTCCTTCTTTCATCCATTTCTTGAAGTTGCTGCAAGCACAAAGTAAGATAACATAAAGCTTCTATTTGCAGATTTTTTTCCCCAATCCTGATGTATGCACTTACTGTGGTCACCACAGTGTAGTACAGAATTCCTGTGCTTTCCCAGTATTTTTACTTGCTTAACAAAACAGAACTTAAGTTAAAAGGTCAAGTCCTTTCAGACACAGACTTTAGATGCCCAGAACAGTAAGTAAGAAGAGTTGATACTCTGATTTTTGAAAATGATGTAAAAGACTGGACTTTCTTTTCCTTATTCTTTTTTAAAGCACGTGTACAGTGTCTACAGCCACTTATTTAGTTTAAAATACTTGTTTCAGCCAAAAATAAAAACTACAGTAAAGAAATTCTACTAATTTCTCCATCTCCTCATCTCTCCTTCTAGTTCCAAATAATTTCTCTCTGGTGATAAATATCTCTATCTTGCCTTTATTTTTATACTTTCCAATAAATACCAATGATTAAAAAAATATGAAAAATTAGAAACGTTAAAATTACATGCTGTTTAAACATACTTTCTGATTTGAAATACAAACTATTTCCTTTAGCAGTGTGCAAGAAAATGAAGAAAAAGAATACCATTACCTAAGATTTGTAATAAAAGTCTACTGGAACACAACAAAAAGAAAAAATTAAAGAGAAATACTATTAAGAAAATAGCCCTGGACCTTTCACCTAATTGAAGGGGGGGGGGGGGGGGGGGGGGACACGACCAAAAGAAAACAAAAAGCTATAGTACATACATCAATAGGTTATCAAAAATGGGATAAGAAGTCGGATCTTTCCTATATGTACTGTAACAAAGGCAGATGTCTCAAGCAACATCCACTGTCACCTCCCCCCAAAAAAAGCAACAACCTAGTCATGCTAAATCCTTCTCCCAAGGTTTTCCCATAGAATATTTTACCAAATACTTGCAAGGAAATAGTAAAAATGAAGTTCCAAGAGAAAGTAGGGCTAAGGTCTTTCTGCTCTTACTGGTGATTTCAAAAAACGTAAGTCGTATCTTACAATGATAACAAATTTTAACCTTAGAGAAATAAAGGCAATAAACCAAAACTCTGGTCCAAGCTATAAACAAAGATGATTAAACTGTTTCTCCTGGGAGTTGACTGCAATTCCTCCATGAGTGTGCTAATGTCAGATCTACAGTAGTGCTGCTTAACAGTTAAAATACTAGAAAATTCTTTAATAAGCCAAGGCAATTTTCTCCTGTGAATCCTAGACCTATCTAATAAGTATTTTTTTAAAATATGAACTCCCTTGTGCTTCTAGAAAATACCAAGCATTCTTAACTTGCTACACTTTCAAATAAAGTCAGTATTTTTGCTTTCCATTTCCTCACTCCATGTCTCAGAATCTGTTTCTACAGTAACAGTACTCTCCCAAATTGCTGAACGTACATGCCAATACAGTGCTGAAGTCCTCACCTGATGTCCCCCAACTACTTTAGTTTTCCAAAGTCTCCTTGCTTTTGAAAGAATCTTGAAAATAAAAATCTGTATAGTTACATGAAGCACCTTGATAAATCCCCTTCTTAGATGCAAAGTATTGATGTAATTTGACCTTTGACTTTATTATTTTAGAGAGTTCTGTGGATTGCTGGTAAGACTGATGAACAAATGACGGGGGGGGGGGAGGCAGGGAGGCGGGCAAGAGGTAAGTACTTCTGCCTCCAGTCCACTTATTTTATGCCAGTACAACAAGACACATTAAACCACAGTCACCTCTAGCTATATGCTTTCCTTTGTCTCTGCCAGAGTCAAAGCATTCAGACACACACAAAAATATCAAGAGAACTAGGGAAGAAACCTTATTAGAATGATTGTTTTAACATTTGCTCTCACCCAGATGTCTCAAATACTTATTTTGCTGTACCTCTTCAGCAACATTTAAGCAAAGAGTCTATAAAATATAAAATCTTCATAGAAAATGCAACACAACATTTTTATTACAAGTCTAAGCATAATTGCTGCAAGCAGTAAAGTCTTATAATAAAATGCAGGTTGTATCAAGATTATGCTAATTTCTTGATAAAATTATCCACTAAAATCCCAAAAATAAAGTTTTAAATTTTAAAATCTACTTCTCCATTAGAAAATCAAACATACTTTGTCTGTTAATTATTTTACCTTATAAATCTGAGGAATGACAATGTAGTAGTGTTTGTGCTGTTCGCCATTAAAATTCTGTAGTTGTGCAGCATACTCATTTTTGTTTTCATCAGCCATATGTGTGCGCAGGTTTAACTGTTGCTTAGCCTGGTAGGAAAGTGTTATCAGTTCAAACACGTCTTCTGCTTTTCAATGACATACAGCATTATTTTAATTTATTTTAACAACTATGCAAAACCACTAATCACAAGTCATCAAAATCGACATCCTTACAATTGAAATAAAAAGAATGTGAGATTTCATACATATCATGATAGTCTACAGACCTAATTTGTCATACACAGAGAGAGCAATGATCATTTTAGCTCCCTTAGCCACATTGCTCAAATGCATGTCTAAAAAACACAGAAGTGACTGAACATATATAACACAAGATACCAAATACCAGTAAGCTTGCATGTTTAAGATGATCGTCATCATCTCAACAGCATCATCTCGAGACTAACGAAGCATACTCCTCCTCTGCGCCGTCTTATATTTTACTGTAACTTTGATTTTGCAAATAAGCAAGCGTACTTTATACACAATTTTATACACTCAAAGAATGTTGTTCCAGTACTGATGATAGACATGCAGATATATTTTATAATAGAGAGTAAAAGAAAAACGGCTTACCTTCTCAACATCAGCCTTTGTTGCATTAGTGTCATTGTCCAGTCTTTCATAGCTTTGCTGTGCCTTCTCTGCCTCTCTGCATTCTCTCTCAAATTTCTTTTTGCTCTACAAAAGCCACAAACTTACTGCTTCAACAGCCACTATCCTCTTTTGGTTTTCTACAGTAATTTTGAATTCTAAATGTCAAAGCTGCCACTTAAATATCTTAAATTCACTAAGTACCTTTAGATAAATACACTGTTCGTTCTCACAGCAATCAAGTCTCAAAAATTTTTAATTTTTCTACTGAATACTTATTTCCTTGAAGTACCAGCAAGGAAACAACTGTAATTATGCTATAAAATATCAGATAATCAAAATACAAAATAACCTATTACAAAGATCTGCAATTATAAACACACAAGTCCACTTTCTAGCCTGACTTCAATAACCTAAAAAAATTAGGGGCAGAAAACTTAAACTTGGACTTGTATAATTTTCAAGTTCCTTTCTTCAGTGATCTATCTGAATTGAATAAATTCAACTAAATTATTCTGAAGGTAGTGTGAACAATTTATCTGACATTATAAGATCTTAGCATATCCATCCATTATCATCACTACTCATATCAACCAGCATAGCTGCAAACAGCACAGACAACAGTATTCAATGTACTTGATGTTCAATACCTTCAGCTGTTGTCAAAACAACTGCTGTACGGAGAAACTGTTGCAGCTCAAGAAGTCAGTATCTCTAGAGACAAACTGGCAATAGAGATTGCGTAAGCACCACTCTCCTGCTTCAGTGCAAAGTCAGGCAACTGAGGATAAAGTGTCCCTTAAAAGGCTGTATGCATTTAAAAGACTGACTTTGCACCCAAGTAAATACAGCCCACACAACACAACCAATTGTCTGAGGTGAACTCTGGGAATTATCTTGGTGAAGCGTGAGAGATAGCACCTAAAACTACCGCATCTGGTTCTACTCTGATCCTCTGACCATGAATTAAACAGTTTGACCTGACACTGAAACAAGACATTGGTTTATCCGGGTCCACAACAACAAAACAGAAATTCACCCCTCCAGTATTGCTACACAATAATCTGCATTGAAGATACAATAAACTCCTAAGACACAAAACCAGCAGAATATCAGAATGCGTCTTGAACACACTTGATGGAATTTTGTATTTTCTTATCTTTAAAAGCATGTCTCTCAAGAAAAAGCAGCTTATAATCTGTCCTAGAGACATTACTTCCTGCATTTCTCTGTTAAAAACTAATTTTGCCTCCTGAAAGTATAATAGCCTATAGTGGTATTCTTGAATAGAACTCATGTAGCAAGCCCTCAAACTCAAGTCACACACAGTGACTTAAGATTTCATCCTCATATAAATAAACTGTCATTATTACTTAGTCTCTAAACAAAAAGTAGCCCGCAGAGAAGCAACCCAAGAGATCTGTACCCATGTTAAAAACAGATTCCTTCATGGTGGATAAAAGCCAAGGCTTCACTCAAATGTACACACAGAAGTTGTTTACTACAAATACATTGAACTGCATTTTGAATGTTACTGATTTGGACACTCAGTAATATAGCTAAACATTGAAGTCTAAGCAAGACAGATGACAACAATTCCATTTACAGACTGTATATTATTGAGTTCAACAGGAAAAAACACCAAAACACAAACTCACATTGTCCATCTGTTTCCAGCACATGTCCAGATACTGTTGAGCCTTTCGCCCTTCCTGAAGATGCTAAAAAACACCACAAATAAGTTTAACTTGCATGTCTTTTTAGTACTATTACAATTACTGAGTCCCTGCTCTAGTTGACACCCTATGATGTGCAGTATCTCCCACAAGTTACCAGTAGTCTTCAGAAGACATTACTAATCATGTAAGAACAGAACCACAGATGAAAATGACACTGGCAAAAAAGTTACTAGTAAGCACTATCTCCCAACACCTTAATTTTTAAGTTTAATAACTGTAGTAAACCAGTACATGAAAATACAGAATAACTTTAAATATGTGTTTTATCAATATATTACAAAACCTACTTATTGCCAAGTTCATTAAGTTGGGTAAACAAATACAACAATTCATTAAAAGACATATCCATTTTTATATCCTATTATCAAATCAAAATATAGAAATTACCATTTTTCTCTCAGTTTTTAGATCATGAGAGTATCTCATCAATTCTCCATACACTCTGTGTCCCATTTCTTCAGCAACTACTTCTCGCTGTCCTGCATAGTCATTCAACTCATTAAGGATGTTAAAAAAGGCAATACATGAAGTAAACCTGACAGAAAGCACAGACGCACAAACATACATATACAAAAATTGAGATAGTTTTTTTTTAAATGGACTTCTTCTTGTACAGTCTGTACTCCTGATTAAATTAAAAAAAATTGTATGTATTTTACAATAAACCTTATCTTAAATGCTAATTGAGTTATAGTAGAACTGCAAGTTGGGAAAGCCTACATTAAGCCTAGCATGTACTATAAGTTGCAATGTCTCTTCAAATACATTTTATAAGAATATGGATTTTTGCGGATGGAAAAGAAAGAAGAAGAATACTACCTGGAAAGCCCTGTAGTATACTGGTATCTCCTAAGCTGCCAACTGAGAGGCCTGAGCTTGGGAACGGATATGTACGTCCCTAGGCTCGGAGGCTGAACTTGCTGCAGAAATGATGTGCTTGGTGGTCTTGAGGGTGGAACATGCCAATCATACCACTCATATGCATCCCGATGGATGATCTACACAACAAGTTTGCTATCAGCTCTGAAGACAGCTGCCTGTTTGCCTGCCCACCTCTTGGCTGGAAGTAAGGTGCCACTATGGCTGGCACTAAAAAGGGGGGAAGAGGAGGGGCAAAGGGTAGAAAGTGTGTGTGGAAGGGAAGAAAGGAAAAACAAAAACAAAAACAAACAAAAAACAGACACCGCATTAAAATATACATCTTTCTCTCTTTGAACTGTGGAATACTGCCATCTCCATAGGCTTGGCTCTAGGGAATTCAAACGCCACCCTAGTACTAGAAAGCCCATTCCCTGTGGTCCAGGATCTTTACATAGCCCAAGGAAGAAATCCTACTGTGAATTCTCAGGCACTCTGCACAGCACATGCTCTGCCTGCAACCTGAAACTTGCCCACTTCCTTTACTTCATAAGAGTTATCCCTAAAGAAAAAAAAAGTATTGCATTTTTCTAAATAAATTTAAAAAATGGCTATGGACATGGACAGCAAAACAAGCATCTCTGATAAATAGTCATAAAATAGCTCCTCCTCCACAGTTAGACATTCATTTATTTTGTCTCTGAAATCAAAGCAAGTCAGTAGTTTAAGAGCTTTTGCTAAAAACACGACAACTTTGTGTACACTCAAGTCTCAGTATACAAATGCATAGCTACATTTGTATCGCCATACAAATGCACTGGAAAACTCTACTAAGTTAAGCAAAAAACCACAGCCTAAGAACACGTAATTGCTTTTCTATTAAAAAAAATATTAATTGTTTTTCTATAAAAAATAATACTAGACTGCACATAGTGTACTAAACTTCTGCTTTCAAACTTTCAGCTAGCTAAAGATGAATTTGGAACAGAGCAAGTACGACCTGTTGTATTTACTACTTTAACATACTAATAGAAGTAAACTTAGGTTTCATGCTTAAGAATTACAGCAGACCTATAAGAAGTCAAGCACAATTCTTTTGTTGTCTTAGCCAATTAAATACTTTATCTTAAAAAAAAACAAACAAACAAAAAACAAAACCCCACAACCATAAAAGGACAGAGTATAGTGTAGTCCTTGTTTCTTATACACAGAACTTGAAATGAACATTTTTACCTGGGTTCCTCATCTTTGGGTGAACGTTTAGGACAGTACTTCTTAACCAGATTTCTATTAAGGAAGAACAAAAAAAAGAGACTCTAAAATAGCATCTTTTAAGAAGACATACACAGAGAAAACTGCTTGAACGAAATTATTTCTTTTTAATGGCTTCAAGGACAAGTCTATTCCCTCTGTCATCTTGTAAGGATCCTTTCAATAACGTAAGGCAGAAATCTATAGCATTTTCAAAGATTTTAAGTCACTTTGACCTAGAACAATATATTTATAAGCATTTTAAAACCTCTATTGCACAGTGACTAGACATAAAATAATGAGTTCTTTATTTAACATCCTTTTTACGCATGCAAAAGAAGCTAGCAGACAAGAAAAAAGCAAATGTATGATCACTGTGTAACATACAGTTAGCACACACCATATGCTATACCCATAAGCACAAAACTCCATGCCTGAATTAAGCTTTACGTGTACATGCAGGTTGAAGGTTTTAACCACAGTACCTCCAAATCTTCAGCAAGGGTATTTCCAGAACAGAAGAGGCAACATCTCTTTTCCAGGAAGATGTTACATTTTGCCCTACCACCAGTGTTGTAAATATCAGGTTTTTAGAAATCAAGAAAACCTCTAAAAGACGATCCATGGGACCAACACTTTACACAGTATCACAGTCCAAGTTCCAAGAACACTGATAAAAACTCATTTGCTTATCATACAATGCAGAAACAGCACCTTAAAAAAACATACAAACCACAGCACCTACTCTATCCTAGACCATAAGTAACACAGGCACACACCGCTTACACAAACAACTGCAAAATATTTACAGTTACATATATTGCTACAAACATCCCAAATCCTGTGCTTAACGTGAAATGAAGCCACACAATTTTACAGACAGGAGGGATAAGAGTCCAGTGATTTTTCAAATTCTTATCTTCCTGCACTTCAATCTTTGCTTTAAACTTCTGAGTACACATTTTTTTTGAGCACATTATTCTGACTTGACTTACAATATTGTTTTTGTGGTAGCAATGAGGTCTTAAAATTCTTGAAATTCAAAAGGACACATGTTGTCAATCTTGAAAAAAAAAAAAATCCCTAATTTCCTTTTCATTTTTAGCAGCTGGGTGATCATACCTTGAATTGGTTGCATTTTTTATTCTAGTAATTTTCAAAATTGTCAAGTTTTTCCATGAAACAGAAAAAAATGAAATTATAACTCCACTAGAGTTCTTTTCCTTTCCCTGCGAGAGTTTGTCATTTTACAGCAAATAAAGAATCCTTTTTTTGTATGAAAGAAAAATAGGTAAGACACAGGATTTTTCTCAGATTGCTTACCCTCAATGTTTGTGCTTTTTGAGTTAAAAAAAAAGTGAAAGATCTCAGTTGGTGTGTATTTTTAAAAGCAGAAAAAAGTATTTAAAGAGAGAACTACTACTGAAATTAAACAGATCAGCATGCCCACCCTCACAAAAATTCTCATATTTTCCAAACATTAGAACTACTTCATCGAAATCTTGCTAGTAATATTTAAACTGTGGACCAGATGGCACGTTGTAGTATCTCTCATTTAAACTATCAAAGTAGTATTTTTCAGTGTGAATGAACACCTCAGCAGAAAATAAGGCATGTCAATCATTTGCTTTACAACCCACAAATAGAAGCAACACAATGGTGGCCATTTTTTCCTCATGTATCTCTGAATAATCACACCTTCCATTTAAGAACAAAAAACCCAAACAACAAAACAAGTGCATACAATTGAATCATTGTGTTCAAGAGACAAGTGTTTGCCTTGAGCTTATCAGGAAAGACTTCTCAAAGTGTGCTCTTGAGGTGGACCTGGATTATGCAAAGAATGCTTCTGTTTTTTAACTGGTATAAACTAGACCTCATTCAAAATTCTGTATTGTGTAAAGGGATGATATTTTGCAATGCAACTATTTTACACATCCACCCAAAGAAGAAATTAAGTATAAAACCATGCAAACCTAGCAGAGTTGCTTTAACAGTTGTCTTTTAACTGGCCTCTAGATACAACTCTTCCATTTGTCTGTCCAGTAGTAACTGAGACAATTGGCTGTCGACTTCTACTGACTAGTTATTAATATAGCCCAAAACAGTTTCCCCAAAAGCAGCAAAGTAGACTATGTAAAGCAATCTACACCCCTAATGCTACAGAAAAAAAGAGAGGAGAAATAAGAAAAGATTCTATGAAACAAAATCTTGCATGCAAATCTTGTCCATGTATTAACTTCTGTCGTTACAAACTATGAACTACCTTATCATTAAAACAAGGGTGCTAATCCTACTTTCATCTAAAATAACCTATGCAATTTCTCAAATCGATTTATTTGGAAGTCATATTATCTCTACGGTACAAGTAGCGAGACGATGTTCAGTCATGCAATATGCACCAAAATAGGAGCAGGGAGTCGGTGTGGAAATAGCGAGCTTAGAGCCTTTGTCTCTCTCCATACCCTCCAGAGACTATAACCAGAAAGAACAACCATGATAAGATAGTCAAGTCCTTTTTACATCAATATGTACGAAGAGAATAAACACTGACTTTTTTAAAACTATCTACAAATTTTATAGGAACTTTGTCACTGAAGTTAAAACAAGAATCTCTTTGCTATCACCAGAATCCACTGCCTGTTGTAACATTCTACTTGGTAAGGATTAAACTCAGACATTTTGATTGGAAAATGCATAAACCCAAGGAAAAAAAAAAAGAATACTCTTCTTCACTAAGTAACTTTCCAATGTTTCATTTTCCCTTTCATTTCTGCTTTGCTCTTCATCGCTTGTTAACGAATGGGAAACTCCTAAATTTCACCTTATTATTGTTTAAAAGGTGAAATGCCTAACAAGCACACAATGCTGTAGCTAGGCAACCATGCACAAGCCTTTTCAAGGCCAAGATTTTCAAAGGTGTTAAAAATGACGGAAAAAAAACCATCTACTGCAAAACATACAGTTTGAAGTGGCAGGAGAAAGGTCACAAATATAGATTATTTACTAGCATGCTGATTTTCTGTTCTGGTTTCATTTTTTAATGCAACTGTTTACTATTTCTAGGAAGACAAAAATATGATATAATCCTATCTCCCAATAAAAGTCAGTTTCATTAGTCAATTTTGTCTACCTTAGAATCTCAGGAACATACAGTTGAGACACTGTATGATCAAGATTTAAGGTTCAATAACAGCACAAGGTACAATAATCAAAGTCAATAAATATGAAATGACAAGGAAATGCAGAATTTAAAATTCTAAGAAAAAGCCAGTGTACAATGTGAACACTGAAGCATAAATGGCTTTTCCAAGAAGTGAACACCAACACTTAGAAAAAAAACAGAGAAACTGGATTTAATATTTGAAAAAATGCAGGTTGACAAGCAGCTAGGGTAAGTGTGGATCCGAAGAGTGAAGCATTATTTCAAAGGGGAGCCAGCTGACACTTTAAGGGGACATAATGTTCTTTAACATTTTTATCTAAATGTGTGTCTAATCCTCAGGATCCAAATACGTTTATAAGAAAACTGCAGCAGTAATTGCAGAACATCAGAACTGAACCAAGTCTACCAGACAAATTGCCCCACACTTCCTTAGAAAAGTGTAGACCAAGGACACTTCAGTCCTCTCTGAAGTACAATTTAGACAACTTCTACCACACTCTGTCTTACAGTCATCTGGAAGAAGATTTCGTACAGGACTAACTACATCCAATAGTGCTGCTCCTGTAATTTTATCAACCTCTCTTTTCAGTATAAATTGGTTTCAGGTCAATACACCAGTGAGATAGCAGCCTGGACCATAGTACTAATTTTTAAAGATAATTACCACCTCAGTCATGTATCCAGAAGTTTCAAAAAGCACCCTAGTTAATAATTAAAAATAAAACATCTACGTAAAATTTTACAGACATTTATTTGTACAAAAATTGTATTTATCAACTCCAAACTAAGTCTTCTTCAGTCAATTAATATAGAGCATAAAGAACAGGAGCAGCAGCATCAACATGGTAGAATTTGTAATCAGGTAGCAGCTCAGGTACTGTGGCATCTGCTTATACTAAACCTCTACAGTCTGGGACCTTCCAGCCTACAAATGAGCCTGGGAACAAACTCTGAAGTCTGCTTTCACACGGTACTAGAAAAACGCAGTAAGTACTTGAAGGTATTTCATATTTATACATACAGTAATACTTTCAATACGGTTCTGATGGCTTCAGTAACTGTGTATCAGTATCATGGACTGAGTGAAAACAATGACAATGAACTGTATTTAGTAACATCATCAGAGAAAGTTTTAACTGAAGAGATGAATCTTAAAAAACTGTAACACAATTTGAGTTTGCAAAGCTGAATATCCTTGGAATCGTTAAGAATTCGCATGTTTTGTCTCGCAGAAACATCACTATAAAAAAAACCTGCCACATCTGTATTTGGATAGTAATCAACAGCATAAACTCTCAGCTCCAATCAAAGCAAGAGAGATTTAGGAAATGAACACATATGGTGATCATTTGTGTCCTCAACTTCACATTTGAGCTTACACCCATTTTCAATAACGTTTCCAAGATCCTGCATATAAAAATGTGGTACCTATGTCTCAATTTGACTAGACATATGCGTATATGAATATTGTATTTAGGAAAAAAAACACCCACATTTACACACAATAGTATGCAGAAGGAACATGAAAAATACATTTGCTCAGATTAATCAGACATCTCCAGAGATCACAACGTACAATTTTAAAGGAAAACACTCAAATATTTCAAGAACAATCACAGCTATTTTCTTTAAACTGACAATAACAGAGGAGCTGACCATGTTCAGAAATCTTACTCCACATGGCAGTTTCATCTATAACTGCAGGTATAACTTGTATTACTGCCCAACATCGCAGGAAGTGGAACTCCTCTGTCTTCTCAAGTGTCATAATGCTCCAGACAGAACAAAGAGGGAGTGAATGTCCAGAATTATTTTGTGTGTGATGATGTGGAAGTAAACAAAACAGACCTGCACCTCACCCCTTTTAAGCAACAATGCTGATCAAAAACAGCATCTCAGAACTCAATTACAAAATTCAGCCAAGAGCCCAGTAATTTGGCACATACTACATCTATTTTTTTCCAATTATAAAATAAGAACAAATTAAACAGCACATAATTAAAATGAAATCTGTTAATCTACAATGTATATTGCAATACGTTTGTCTAGATTCACATCCCTGTAACAGCCTAGAATAACCTTCATAATCCTTGGGATACCACAATACATTAGTTGAGACCTAAGCTACACAAAATTTAAGATTTTCCTTAAGTTAGCTCAAAAAAATGAAATCTTAGTTGCTTTTTTTCAGAACAAAGTATATTGCAGACAAAGACAAGGCAAGCTCTCTAGAAATTTTTTTTTCGTTCATAGACACCTCAGGATTCCTCAATGGTTTACATTTTTCTTATACTTTTTCTCAGTATCAAGAACCGCCTATTAAAGAAGAATAGCGATGCATGACTTGCAACCTAAAACCAGCATTTGGACAGGATTCTCACAAGTAATAATTTCTGGAATTACTCAGCGACTGTAAACTGCAATAACTGCGTACAGTAAGAATATAGTAAGAATTCAAACAGTTCATCATATGCTGTACGTGCATCACTTGTAATCTCCTAGAAGACTCAGAACAGTCATTGCACCTGGGAAAGTCTCAACACCAAGTTGTGATGGTATACAAAAAGAAAAATCATCAAAATGCAAGGGTATACACAAAGTGAGTATGAATTTCTGCCAGGACACAGTCTCTAATTTCTGAAAACTGTTATGAAAAATTCACTCAAATTGTCATCCTTGGGTTTAAATCTATGAGAATAAGATCCATCAACAATCTCAACCGAATGTTCATGGCCCACACTGAAACCAAGACAGAAAAAAATACCACCATATATCACTAGCATTATCTCCCTCATTAAATTTTTTTCTTGGTGTCCCATCCAAGCACTAAGAGAGCCACAGAACTACCAAGAGGTGACCACTCACCCTACTGTTTATACATCTACTAAACAAGGGCATAATAAATCTGTTATAAAGTTCATAATGAAGAGATTCTCAACAGTCTATTTTCCAGATTGCATTAATTACAAAAAGAAAACACAATGATAAAGTAGAAATTTCCATCAGTGATATTAATATCTACCTCACAGGTCCTATGTTGCCAGCATTAAAGTTCACCAGAACCATGGCCCATCCCCAAGATCTTCTCTCTCAGAACTTCTCAGGAGCAAGCTCCAGAATGGCTAACTCTTCTGGAGGTGAAAATTTTGCTTGATCTCTGTCTCCCCTGGGACCTCATGACTGTTTTACACAGTTAAAAACAGTGAGGCTCCTCAAGAGCAATGATGGCTGAAAGTTTTTATCACAAGACAGTTCACTACTAACAATCAGTTCTCCCCCAGGGAATACACAGGCAATATCGAAGAGTAGCTTCGTGAACCGGTCTACTGGCAGAAAATCAGTCATCCTCTCATCTGTGTGCTGTCCAGACTCTTGTTGGCAGCAGGCAGGAAGTGCGTGCATGCACTGTACAACACGTGTGCAGCAAGACCCGTGCTTCCCAAAACCATCATACTTACTGCACATGGACAGTCAGTCCAGTCATCTGACAGAGGGGTACTCGACATAACTCTTTCGTTTTTGAAAGACACTTTGAGAAAAATCAATAGTTTTACCCAAAAGAGTAAAATGTTGAACAGAGAACACTTCCTATTTTCAGTCAAATCCTGAAGTAATAATGTGGTGTCTCATCTTGCTAGCTGTGGAATGAATCTTTAAATATAATTAAGCAAAATGGCATTTGTTCATACTATTTAAGGAAAAGATCTGCATAGTTCAGTGCAAATAAAACATATTTTCATTTTAAACAGACAACTGAAAACAAATCAAAACTGGACTGTGAACTGCTGCTGTGCATGCTTCAAACTTTCTTTTACTTCCTGAAGTTCTTCTATGCCAGCTTTGGAAAAGTAGGATTTATTTCCTTCCCTTTAAGAAAAAAATTCCTTCAATAAAGTAATGGGGTATTATGTTAGGTGAATATACACAACTGGATTAAAAGAAACAGATAAAGAAATCAAAACAGAAATGAGCAGCCTAGACAGAGAACATCCATACCTCTCGTTACTGCATTTATGAGAAAGGGTTCCTCAACTGTGTATCTGGTGACAATCTAGTTTGCCAATGATGAGATGATGGAAGGCACCACAGGAGAGAAGCTGCTGTCAGTTTCAGTCTCACAAGGGCTAGGCACCAGCATCAACTGAATCCCCAAAGGAATTCAAGACAGCAAAGTTTACAGTGAAGGCCAAATTCACAGGAGTGTCTTATTTTAAATCTTGTTCTTCAAGCACTGTGTGCACCTTTTGGTAAAAACCTCATTTTATTCTGAAGAATGTGCTTCTCTGCCATTTCATTGATGCTACTCTTCTTGTATGATCTCTGAGGGGAAATTCCTGTTGGACCTAAAAGATGTTTCACTTGGTACCAAGAAAGTGAACTGGACAGGCAAGACAAAGGGTGGTTGGGTTACAGTCTCATCCAAAGGGACAAGCCCAGCTATGGAAAGGGTGCGCTTTAAGGACAGGAAGATCTGCTACTTTCTCAAGTTCTACTCAATGATTTCAATCAGATTTCTTAACACAATGTAGTGTAGCTCTTGCCAATTCAACATGAGAAATTAATTAGCAGCAGAGACTTGAAGCTGGTTGAACACACACAAAAATGTAGATATGGATAATGCACTTTGCAACAAACATGCTGATAGTCAGTGGAAAAAAATACTGCTATGGTTTTGTTCTGTTTTGAATCTTAAAATTTAAGTCTTAAACCTTTTCAAGTTCAAAGATTGGAAGCGTCGGCGGGAAGAGAGGCGGGAAGGAGGCAAAAAAACAACCAAGCAAGTAAGCGCACACCCAAAGATAATTTTCTGTTTTGGACTGGTAAACAAAAACTTGTCTGTCATGAAAAGAACTACTGATCTAATTCACTCTGTAAACGAAAAATGGTCATTAATCACGATGTTACATACTTGCCCATCATCTGACACAGTGATTTTAAGTAACTGTTAAGATTCTTTTAAAAAGAAAAAAATCCTTACCTCAATTGTTTTGCATAGTTTTGCTCAATTTCTATCCTTTCTTTTACAAATTTTGCATATTTCTCCAAGAAGTCAATGCCCCACTGTGTATGCTTGTCCAGGTTATCAAACTGATCCTTTAAAAACAAAAGGAAACAAAAATACCCAGAATTAGTTAAGAATCACAGTAGCACGAGCAACGACATATAATTTATGAGTTGTGCTGTGAGGGAATGCTTGCAACATGGATAGAAGTTATTCAAGTTATAAATCAGTCATGTGCACATATATATATACCAGCCACATACCAGAACAGTAAGCTACACTTGCAGGCACAGATCTATCCCTTTCTGTAAACACAGCTCTAAATACTTGCGTTTTAAGTTGTACGCAGTCTTTGATCACTTTCACTATGCAAACGTGTCTTTTTTTTCCCATAAAACCCCTTTAATTCAAAAGTGGATCTTTTCCACCTAGATAACGAAGACATAACCAAAGATCACTATTAGGTAAGTAAGAGACCATTCCACAGAAGAGATGTGTTTGACAGTTTTAAAACACAAGAAGTTGTAATTTCATTGGATTGTAAAAAAATTACTCTCACTCTTATGATAACCCACTGAAAGAAAAATAACATAAATTATAGCTGCATGACTAAGTTGGGTGTAGTCTGCATATGAAAAACATTTATTAAAACAAATCTATATGCACAGCTCACAATCAGCTCTAGCAAGAGATTCCAAAGAAAGCAAATCTGTCCTTAGCCATTAAGAAAGTTACAGCAAAGCAAAGGCCCAAGACAAAGAAGAGAAACAGTCAAAACTAAATCACGCTTCCAAAAATTTGGGGAATCATCCTCTAAATTAATCTTTTACTTTATTCTGTACTGCTCAACAGGTGGAGGATACACTAATTAGCACAAGTTGAAAATTCAAAAAACAAGTAGAAATACAAGGGTTAGGAATTAGGTAGGAATGAATAAAGGTACAAAATACAGCCTAGCAAATAATTCAGCTCATGACAGCATTTACAGTAAATTTTTCTTAACAGTTACTTAGTAATCCAAACAGACAAGCAACTGCAACATCAAAATTAGTGTCCTGTATATGCTGAATCCAAACACACTTCACAGGAAATTTAAAAAATAAAAAGTAGAAAAAGAAAAATAAGCTAAAGAAAGCATTTAAAGGCAAAGTTTATTTAACTTACACAAAAAAACCTGAGAAGGGTGTTTATCAGAAGCTGTGTCTTGCAGATTCAGTAACTTGCCTGAATCTAATGAATTACGTCGACCTTTAGTATCAGCAATTTAAGTTCAATTTCAACATGCAGTAGGATGATTTGAAGTTAAATCAAAAAGTGCCATAAAATGGTGCAGGGCTTAAGACTCAAGGAAAATGTATTCACTGAAAGAGATACCACAACCAACAAGAATAACAAAAAAGAACATAACAGGATTAAGGTTGCTCTCAAATCTTGCCTTGCAGCTCTTGGTATCCTACAACATGGACTAACAACCATGGTCATTAGTGCCTTGAACACTTCAACCCAATGGTATGCAAAGTACTGCCAACCAAAAGCACCCATCCTGTTACACTACCAGCCACGTGCTCCTGCGTCTGAATCATTCTCTCCACCAAAAATACAACCACTCTCCCTGATCTGTTTCACCAGAGAACCATATAAACAGCCAAGACACAGGAGAGAGACTAAAGACAAGATTTTAATATATCTGGGAAACCAGAGCCTGTATCTCATATTGTTCTGATGTGCCCACTTTACACCAACTGGAGATTTCCACACTATCTTTTGCCAAATAAAGT